TGGTCCATACTACCATAGTGACTTAGTCTAAACAGTAAACACATACTGTAAGTAACAACTGCAGAAGCTCCATAAGGAGGAAATAAATCGCTGTGGTCATTTTTAGGCAATGATCAAATTAATGAAATGTAAAATAATAGTAAATTTATTTGTAACCAACCAAAATCACACTCACAAAAAATTGTAGGACTATGGTTGAACATGAAGTGTACCATATTGCGTTAGATATGTAGGTCACCACAAGAATACAAGCGCAGTCACCTCTATGGGCAAGTTGGGTAAATGACCTATCTAGGAAGAGAAACAACTAGTCCTTCTAGGGGGGGGGGGGTGATTGAAAACTTGCAGCCCTCTACACTCTACCATATACATGTACATTGCTGTAACAAAGATTGGATTGGAAACTGGAAAGGTGTTTGATATTGTAGACCGAAAAATCAGTCTATAACCTAAATGTCGTTCTGGGGTTTGTTCCTCCGAGACTATGCACGGATTCACCCAATCCCTATCCAAGTCTCAGACTCGGAGCCTGAGCCTGAGGAGAGCATCAAAAGTCAAAAGCTGTTTAAAAAGTCATCCAAGCAGACATATTTTTTCTGTTTAGACTAATAAAAATGCAAACCCAAGTACCCGGGTACATACAATTGTAAACAAATCAATGACTTTATTGACTTTAAATACTTTCATCAGTACGCACACATTCAGTGGGAAACTGTGAAAACATGTTTACATGTGTAGTACTGTACTGGTTATTGCTTTCCCGATTCACAACCACCACACACTTTTCATAAAGCTGTACATGATGTAGTACTAGTAGGCTACTGTACGTGTACATAATCTGATGTACACTGTACATGTAGTTAGAAGAGGGAAGCAAATCAAGCAAATCAAGCAAATGAGATCAAATATTTTTCATGATGACAAAGGGAAAATGCTAATTTTAGTTGGATCTTGATCCAAATCTACGGACTACAACTTGTCTACAGTCAAACTCATAGTCATAGACCTAGACTCTAGACTAGTCTAGGTCTATTATTAAAAAAAACTCTGCATCCGTCATTCAAAAAGTCAACAATGCACCAAGTCTACGAGTAATAATAAGGAAAATGCTTGGCAAAATCTGAGTGAAAAAGGAGTTTGAGGCTTGTTCACTGACAGTAACACTAAGCTAGTCTAGTCGATGAGAGTCAAGTCATTGATCAACTTTTGATTTTTGTAATCAATTTTTCATATTTTTATTTGAAATAAATAATGATTAAATTCTAGATTAGCCTAGCCCCCCGTTCTAAACTTCAACAATACAAAATATAGATCCAGGACCACACACTAGATTAGGTTAATCTCAATTTCTGTACCAGTGCCAAGGCAAACAAAAATATGCAATGGGTGTTTACTGTTTACTCACTTCGACATTCCGTATTTCATACTGTGTTAGCTCACTGGATGGCAACTTGCGGAGGCCATTCAAGTTTGTGATCCGCACTTCGATCACCGACTGCATGTCTTGAAGTTGCATGAGTTGCAGCGACGATAAAGACTCCCCAGACATGATTTAATTCCGTTCTCGTGGACAATCGGTGGAAAAAGGGATACCTAATTAAGCCACATGTATGCAAACAAAGATTAGGAACGACGAATAAATCCAAATATCATTCATTTCTCTGTTAGATATCCACCAAGAGTTGTCGCATTATCCATGGTTCGCACGCATCATGCATTCTACGCAAAAATGTTATCCGAACAGTACATCGCATCAGAAATTCACAGTGGAGCCTCGGTTATCGTTCGGCGCTTGTAGTCTTTGCGGCTCGTTAGCGAGAGCTAGGGCATTTACAGTATAGAGCATAGACGGGATTCGTCGATTTCATATTGAGGGAGATCATTTATAAAAAAATAAATATGATGATCTACATTTCTGTATTTTGTCACGTATTATTCCATTAATAGTTATTCAAATTATTAGAAATTATAATATTTTTGTTTAAAATATACATAAAACAATAGTATATTAATTTTTATACAAAACATATACAACAAGTTACCTTATTCATTAATAGACTGTTCCCATATGTTAAGGTCAATTAAATTTATCTTTTTTTTCGCAGGATCTGTAAGGCCCATCAAGCATTCTTTGGGGCTGCAGCTCCCCGAAAGGTGTAAAAACATTCGAAGTGTAATGTAAACTAATGTTTATCATAATAATAATAATAATAATAATAATGATAATAATAATAATAATAATAATAATAATGTAATCTCTTTTCACGAAGTGACTGTAAAACTATGATTTATTCTTGATAGATAGAGTTTATATTCTCAGAACTTTATTAATCCATCTAAAGAGTCAAATAGAGCTGTAATCTGTGCCAGGCGCCCTCATCAAACATGTCCCTGCACACTTTTGTGTTCGCGCCAGCAAGGCTTTACGACGTTGGCGTGACATTCTTGTTAAATGAGCACTGACGTACTGAGGGGGGAGGGGGGCAGTTGACCCCCCCCCCCCCCCCCCCCCAAAAAAAAAAAAAACACCAAAGGTTGTTTATTTCTAATTCGGTTCCAGTGATTTACAAACTGTTGCTGAAATGACGTGATTTTCCCTCACTTTTGCCCGTAATGCCACATGCGGCACTCCCGGTGGGGGGGGGGGGCACTGTACCCCCACTTTTTCAGGTACCCCCAAGTTCCCGTTTTTACATAGGACAAGTGCCCCTTTTCTTTTCTTATAACTGTCCTTTTCACCTCTTTTCAAGTGCGAGAAATCCCCCTTTTCACCTCTGATAGTGTCATCCTTTTTTGCTTTGCTCGTGCCCCTTTTACATTTTAATAAGTGTACTTTTTCCTTCGTGATCAGAAGAACCCCCTTCCTCAAATGCCAATTTTCGCCTCTGATAAGTGCCCTTTTTATTTTGACACGGGACCCTTTTTCTTTCTAATAAGTACCATATTTCTTTCGGATAAGTGCCCCTTTTCTTTTTTATTTATGAAACCCTCCTTTATTTCAAATTGCCCCTTTTAATGTCTGATAAATGCCCCTATAAAAATCTGATAGATGCCCTTTTTCTTGAACAGATTCCCCATTTCCATTCTCACAAGTGCCCCTTTTCATCTCTGTCATGAGTGCCCCTTTTTAGGTGCAAGAAGTGCCATTTTCACCTCTGATAATTGACCTTTTTACTTTGACACGAGCACCTTTTTTTTTCTAATAACTGTTATTTTCCCTTTTGATAAGTGGCCTACATTTCTCCCTAACATGCACCTCTAATTCAGGTGACTTAGAGTCCCCTTTTCTATAATTTTCCCTAGGATTCGCTCGCTACGCTCGCTCGCATTTATAGATGTAATAATATGTTATGAAATGTCCAGTCTTTGTTCATTAGATTGTGCTTAATACTCACCTGGGTTTGTTTTTTGTCTTCTTTATAAGATGTAATTTCCACACTCGGACCTCACACATCTTGAATTTTCAAGCGCAGCCCTTCCGCCCCGCCCCCCCCCCCTTTTTACCATCCATCATTCAATTATTTTCAAAGCTGAGGGAAGACTTGTAAAATATATTACTGAAAGTAGGGCATCAATTACGGGGAAATGGGGGACACCTTCCACACACACATTTAAAAATGAAATATATATTTGCATTAAAATGGAAATCCACCTTGATACCAAATACGTTATCCTATTATAAGTTGGTTTGAAACAAATCAGTGAAAGTTTGAGCAAGAATTTTTAAGTTTCAATCGATCAAACATAAATGGGCGACTCTTTGAAATATATATTGAGATCATCCCCCATCTAATATGTTATATCTAGAAATTGTGTTCAATTAAACATAATTATAATTTATCAAAATTTACATAACGTTTTTATTTTTCTCTATTCTATTTTCCGATCGATAACTATAAGAAAGTGGAAATTTTAGATTTTTTTTTATTTTTAATTTTTAAATACAAATGTGAGAGGAAAAACTCAGAGGATCGCGGAAGACGAACCGGGGATTTACCCATTTGTGTTTCATTCATAACAACTTTGAAAATTCAAGACTTTCTTAATTTTAATCGGATGTCAAGCAAACTTTCAATAATATCCGAGTGTTTCCCTCATTTTCTTTTCATCCGAGTGAAACCGACCAAATATTTAGGTGGACTTTCACATCAACATGCAAAGTTAACTGTTCAAAAATGGAAAACTTTTTCCTCGGTCGCTAAACTTTCTCGTATAGAGTACTTTAACTTTGAAAAGATGATAATTTTTATGTAAAGTTGCCAAACAATTCTAAGAGGCCTCTTGGTATAAAAGAAGAAACACAGTATCCCGTATATACACATTAGTTTACCAAGATGGAGATTCTTTAATTCATTTGTGGATGAAAATTATCATTTTGACTGGAAACAAGCTTAGGCCTCAGATATCAGATATAATATGATCAGATAAAACTTTAGCTCAATAGGGGAAAGTTGTTCTAAGGGTATATAGCTGATATTTTCAAGCTGCCTATTTCCTAAGATTTTTTTGTTTAATGGACAGACATTGAGCTAAGAGTTTGGTTTGCCATTTACTCTCCAATGCAGAGTTTGAAACTAAATTTACAAAACGTAAAACCAAAGGCGCTACTCAAAGGGACCCCTTTTGTGGGCCGGGGGGGGGGGGGGGTGGTACCTGAGTCATAAGTATTGCACTCCTACCGCTTCCAACTGTCTCACTCCTTAGTGTTTTAAATTTTAAATAGGCCGCTATGCCTGTGTGAGGGGATGGGGGGTTCCCTGTCTACCCTATACTGCATTACTGGATTTTCATGACTTTAGGCGTTTATTTGTGAGTTGCCGTTGTGCCTTTTGAAACGGCACAAGACTGATTTGTCTAAAAAAAAAAGGGGGGGGGGGACAAGTCGGTAAATTATTTGAAGGAGTTTATAGGATGAAGACGTATGCACTGTACATGTACCTCTAATTTGTAATCACGGTATTCCTCTTCCATCCTGGAAAAAAAAAGGTCCCAGCTAGAAGAAAGGTCACAGGTGGCGCGCCAAAAGCAAAGTGAAAATGAGTCGTGCAAATGAACACAAGAATCTACCATGGTAAGGCTTTCATTTTTAATTTGATGGTTTTTAAACGTTCGTGTAGTAAATTTACACACGAATGTGGCTCAAACTTTCAGCCACTAGCTTTCTTAATTGATTTTATGTCGCTGATTGTTAATCTCTCGACACAATGAATGACACAAAACACGGTAGACGGGACTACAGACAGTCTTTTGTACAGACGATGTGTTTTGATTTGAAGACTGGGATCGGGAGTGGGACTGGCTGTATGTTTTAGAGGATCTAATTATACTGAAGTGACAAAATAATGACAAAAAAAGACCAGTGGAAGTTTGTTGAAAGTCTGATAAAGTCTAAAGAAGAAGAAAGTTATTCAAAAATGTAATTTATAATTGATCAAAAAAGATTCAAACTGGTCTAGACTCTAGGTCTTACTCTTAGCTTAGTTAGGCCCCAGTCTATCTACTCCCTAGAAAAAAAATCTACCTAGAGTCTAGGCTAAAGTGAAAAACTTAAAGGCATAGACCTCTAGTCTAGTCTAGGCCTAGTATTTCATTTTTTAACTCTGTGATGTACCTTTTTTAATCTGAGCACCTCTCCCTTTTGTGTTGTACAGAAAACTCGATAAATTACCAATAGTAATACCAGGCATGGCATTTTCTTGGCCATTAATGAAAAAATGTGTTTCAATGATCATTTATCTCCGTTTACAGGGTGGAGAAGTATCGACCCAACTCACTAGACGACCTTATCTCACATACAGAAATCATCAACACCAGTAAGTGAAAGTAGTGCAATATTTGCCTCTAGATCTAATTTTAATCCATTGGAGAGACAGAGGCTTCGTCATTTATAACAAAAATAAAAGTAAAAACTAATAATGTAAACAAAGAAAGGGCTCAGTGGTCTCCAAATTAGGATGTCCTGGGTTCAGAACCAAGTTGATTCATTAGTGCCCTTTTGGAAGGCATTAATACACATTACCAGTCCCTCGGAGAGGATTTAATGCTGTCTCTTCCTTGATTACTTTAAAGGTAAAGACCAGTTATGGTCATGCGATTGCATTGTGAAAGAAACGTTGTGGAATCGATCAGAAAAGGTTGATCATCTAGCATCTAGCATCTGCAAGGTTCTGGAATCATCAAAATGATAAGAAATTTGGCCCATTCTTCGTAAAGTTACAAGCACTATACACAGAAAGATGTATATGGGACTACCCTATATCTCTCACAGACCATGAGAGAAACAAATTTACCAAATATATGAATTAGTAGGCGGTTTCCCGGCAAATTTTTTGTCATCATGTATTAGTCAAAACATATTCTTTCACATGATTGGTAATGAGAGCTTCCATTTCATTTTTTTAAATTGGGGCGTTTCCAATACTGGTCTTTACCTTTAATACAAGCATGCACATGTTTTGTTAGAAGTGGGGTAATACAAACCATCAAATCAAAAGAGAAGAAAACAACGGTGGGGGCGGGGGGGGGGGGGGGGGTTGAAAAAACTGCCCACTTAAGTCCAAGCCACAGGCAAATTCTGTGTCATCTTAGAACCATTCTCCCTGGCTCCAAGATGTTTCAGAAATTTGCCTGCATGGCCTTAGTATAGATGAGCAGTGGTCAAACAACACTTGTAAAGGGATCATTTTACTCATGGGTGGGGGGGGGGGGTGGTAGCTTATATTTTTGCTTTATTTGTACTAATGTGAGAAAAGAATTCTTAGTAGGGCCTAGCTATGCTAAATGAAAATAAACATTCATTTTTCTGAACCAAAAGTTGACCATATTTCTGAAAATCTTCAAAGGATTTTTTTTTACATTCTCAGGCAGAATGATAAATGATGATGATGATGTTGATGAGGATAACAACAACAGCAACGTAATCAAAAGTGGGTTCTTGTATAGCACCCGTGTGACTTAACACTATGTATTTTCTTTTTAACTTCTGATTGCAGTTCAGAAGTTCATCAAGCAAGATCGCCTGCCCCACCTTCTTTTCTATGGACCTCCGGGAACGGGGAAAACATCCACCATCTTGGCGGTTGCTAAGCAACTCTACGCTCCCAAGGAGTTCAACTCTATGGTCTTGGAGGTGGGTATTGTTTCCAGGGTAGCGTTTCTCGAAACCGTCATAACTACAAGTTCACCGACATCCCATTGAAACGTGTGTTAAACTTAATACACGCGTGTCAATGGGATGTCGGTGAACTTGTACTTATGACGGTTTCGAGAAACGCTGCCCAGGATCCTCAACAGAAGTTTCTGTACCATTGGTCTTTTTTATTTTGTCATTACCTTGTCTGCATAATTTATGTTTCCCATGCTGTGGTAGCAGTAAATACACAGGGGCTCAGGGCGAATTTGCCCCCGAAATGCCCAAAAGAGCCCCCGAAAATCAGAAAAGAGCCTCCGTAAATTTGCATCAATAAAGTAAATCAATGCAAAACAAATTTTAGAGTGTTGTTTTTATGCAGGCAAGCTTGAAAAGTAGCCCCCGAAAAATAAATATTAATTTTTTCCCTGTGTGGTAGGTGCTCATAATGGGTTAACCCATAGAGGTTCAGAATTGTCCAATAGTCTGAATGATTGATCTTTAATTCCCTCCTTAAATTGGCAACAATGACATTTGTCTCTCACTCTTGCACTCTTTTAAGTAATTGAAATGTATCGAAATCATCTTTTGAGAGCCAGAAGGGCCTTAACTATGTGTAAAAGTGAGTTAATGCCCCTTCGATTCTCAACAGACAAAATGAAATTTCAAAATACAACAAGGAAATACAAATTTGCTACTAACACACATGTATACTAAAAAAAGTGACTGTAGGTTATGCAGTATAACAATTTTAAAACCTCTAATCATTCATAGATAAGTTCGATCTGTCTCCTCCTATATTAGTCATATTATTCTTGATCAAAAGTTGCAAAATGTCACTTAAAGGTGACTCTGTACCTCTAAGACTTGAAAAGAATAAACGTTTTTCTTTTGCAACGGTGACTGCAACAACAATCATGAGTTCCTTTAAAGCCCATCTGTACTAGTTAGGCCAGGAGGAATTAGACCTCCCTGCAAGGTCACTGACAGGTGGTTATTTCATCAAAGCAGCTCTCACTTAACATAACAAAAAGAGCTTCATGGGGGACCAACAGGCACCGATTAGGCATTGTTTGATATATAGAGGGCGCAAGTAGCTATAAGTAGTGCAGTGCGGCTTTAAACAGTCTTAACTGACAAAGTCTCCTGTCATCGTTCTTAGCTCAACGCGTCAGATGACCGAGGTATCGGCATTGTCAGAGGTAGCATCTTGAACTTTGCCAGCACCAGGACGATCTTCAAATCGGGCTTCAAGCTGGTCATCTTGGATGAAGCCGACGCCATGACCAACGATGCACAGAATGCACTCAGGAGAGGTAAAAATACATTTTAAGCAATTTATTTTTATTTAATTAGTTTTAAAAAAGGTGCGAGTGAACATTTTGACTTGGTCTTATTGAAAAGTAGTCAAATAGTTGTTGATTTTGATAAGAATGTAATGTCAAAATATCCCTGAGGGCAGACATTTGAGAAAAAGCAGATAATCTCTGTTAAGTAAGGGAATAATTAAAGTCTATTATTTTTCATGTTTACATCATAGTGTATAAAAACAAAAACAAAAACAAATAATCCATGATATGTATGTATTTAACTTGTTCAATTGCCTCTGTATGTGTAACCTATAATTTGTACAGGGCCTCTCAGGAAAAAAGTTATGATTCTGATAGAGTTGCCCTGTTTAAATCAAAAGAATACAAAAATAAATGTTCATTTTCAATAAAGGTAATAAGAATTCTATTCATGTCCAGTACAGGTAATCCCAAAGTCCCCAATTCAATCTTGCTTCCCATCACCATTTTCATCATGTCTTTTTGAAAGTTCTATAGTACCTTTCAATTACACACATGTAGCTGTTATTGTGTGCTTCTCCTTGTCCTTGTTCATTTTTCTTTTCATTTCCACCTACCATGCCTCTTTCTGTCTTTTCTTTCATTTTACTTCTCATTCCTCTATACTCTTCTTACTTCCAATTTTCTTCCTTCTCCCTTTCCTTTTCCCTCTTCCTTCTTCCATACTCTACTACTCTTCCTCCTCTTCCTTTGTTGTATTGTTCTCTGCCTCCTCAACTCTTCCTCTTTTGCCAATCCCTTTTTTTTCTGTCTTCTTCTAACCACCACCTCCTCTTTCTTTCTTTCTCTGCAGTCATTGAGAAGTTCACAGAGAACACCCGGTTCTGCTTCATCTGTAACTACCTGTCCAAGATCATCCCTGCCCTCCAGTCCAGGTGCACCCGCTTCCGATTCGGTCCCTTGACAACCAGCAGATTGTACCCAGGCTGGAGCATGTCGTCAGGGAAGAAAAGTAAGAAAGAGCCCAGTAGGCCGATTAACTAACATATTCAAATTTATGGATGTTCTTTTCCTGGGGACCTAGTGACAAGGTATGCCATTAACCTGTTACCAATGAATGAACTACAATAAGTAGATGGGACTGGGGGCTGTAGACCCCAAAATAATTTTGTGATTTCCAATATTCGGGCAATCGTCACATGATTCGGTAGTGAGGAGGCTATTTGTAATCTCTTAATTCTTAAGTTTTAAAGTTTGATACAAAATTATTTAAATACTCAAAATAATGAACTATCAAATGTTGGACATTGAAAAGTTATGTTAAGGTAGAGGCTGTAGATTCGATTCTACTCTTATTAAAGTGATATGTAGCTATTTCTGACTTCTAAGGAGAGGTAATGAAGGATGAAATGAAGCTTGCAAATTCACACCTAGTAGACCGGGAGGACTACAGATGAAGGGCGAAAGCAAAGCAGCAGTGAAACAAGTGCATGGGTGTGGGCAATAAAATCAAAGATGGCAAAGGTGGTTCAAAATTTCCGGGTAGAACACAGAAACACCGCTGCTACCAGTGTAAACTAATAAAATAATTAACCACTGCCAAACTCACTCAGATCCTTTCTCCTAAGTCTCCAACTTATATTAATAACCGAGCCGTAAATCAACACAACTCACTCAGAGTAAGTCCAGTGCAAGTCTGCATGTGTTTTATTGCAAAGTATCTAGCATGCTGTTCATGTGCTTCATGCAAAGTATATTCAAATCAAATACATTATCAACCAATAGCAAAATAGGATTTAAATATACTTTGCATGAAGCACATGAACAGCATGCTAGATACTTGGCATTAAAACACATGCAGACCTGCACGAGACTTACTCTGAGTGAGTTGTGTTGATTTAGGGCTCGGTTATATATATATATATATATATATATATATATAAGTGGGAGATTTAGGAGAGAGGATCTGAGTGAGTTTGGCAGTGGTTTGTATGATAGGTGTTATGATTGATTTGCAAGTGGTTAATTATTTTATTAGTTTACAATATCTTCTTCTTCTCCTTAATAAATCAGGTGACTGACTCTGATTGAGTTTTAACCTGCTTAATAAATAAATGCCGCATTGTTTGTCCAGCGATGTTATATAATGATAATTTTATATTTGATTGTATTTGCAGTGTTGACATGACGGAGGACGGGAAGAAGGCTCTCATCACGTTGGCCAAAGGAGACATGAGAAGAGTCATCAACATCTTGCAGGTATGTCTTCATAGCTAGCCAGACTCTGACCAGGGTGGTGTTTCACAAAGACTAAGATTGACTTTCAGTTGGACTTAGTTATGGCAGTTATTGCTCTCACCATTATGATCTTTAGATATTATATTTTCCTTCAATAATGAATTATCCAAAAATGTAAATTTTGTAGATTTGTGACCATGATTTGTACGCCCTTTGAGAGACCAATGCCAATTGATGGTGAGATCAAACAGTGGCATGAACAGCCTGCCATAATTAAGTCCAACTTAAAGTCTATCTTATTCTTTGTGAAACACCCCCTCCCCCTCTAGGCCCGTCTTATAAAGAATTGTGGTTGATCCAAATCAATCAATCGACTGCCAGTTTGCAGTCCCCTATCTCTTATGTACACATAGTTGCAATTGATATCAATCACAAATAAGTGGCGATTGATAAAATTGATAAAATACAGTCATATGCACAGTAATATACAAAGTAGAAATAACATTGCACAAAAAAATCAACGAGGAAACGAACAAAGACAGGGAAATGAAAAGAGCAGATGAGATACAAGCTTGAAATAGAAGAAGAAGGAGACATTTAGGTGAAGTAATCGGAATAATTTAACACAGAACCATTAAAATAGTCGCTACACCACAACACCTTTGATGCGATGCATTCATTCATTTTGTTCTTGCAACTTCATTTTCAGAGCACATCTATGGCACATGAGAAAGTAACGGAAGAGAATGTCTACCTGTGTACCGGCCACCCTCTCAGGACGGACATCGAGAACATCGTCAACTGGATGTTGAATGAAGATTTTACTGCCGCTTTCAACCGTATCCTTAACCCATAGTTGCCAGCCATTCCTATTTTTGAGGAATGATTCTTACTACAGTCAAACCTGTCTACAGTGACCGCCCAAGGGAAACACAAAAAGTGGTCTTTGTAGACGGGTTCCTTTAGTATATTTTTCAATGAGAAACCATTTTCAAGGGAAATAAAAAATGTTGTCTTTGTAGACAGGTGGTCACTAAAGCAGGTTTGACTGTATTTGGCTTTCAAGCTATTTTTAAAAATCTTAGATTCCTCTCCATTTCTGAAATAGTCTGTGTGAAAAGTATACAAAATAGACTGTATTCCTAATTTTGCCTTGAGAGATTCCTAATTTTGCTGTGAAAGGTTGGCAGGTATGTTAACCTATGGAAATGTAGAATACATTGTTGGAGTCTTGAGAAGAAATCAAAGGGAAATGCATGTTGGGTAGAACTAGGAATGTCTCTTATTTGTTTTATTGAGGAATTATGAACTTCCTGTTTATTGTCTTTCTCGTTGCAAGGCGGTTGTTTGTAACTTTGGGGTTTTGATTTCTAAGAGGTAGTTTGGGATTCCAAGGGATGAAATATGGGCAATGATTTCATAAAATATAGTACACTGTCAAATCAACAATCATTGGATTACACAGGATATTTCACTGACTTAGAGATTAGTTTGAGGGTTACAGAGCTCACATGGGTTGCCAAAAGGGGTCGTTGGACATCTGTTGTAGAACTTGTGTTTCCTTGACCATGCCTTCATCCAGACATCAACCAGCTAAAGACACTCAAAGGTCTGGCCCTTCTAGATATCCTGTTAGAAGTCCATACCTATGTACACAGAAGTAAGTCGAGTGCTGCATGCCGGGCGCAACGTAACTGTTCTCAAAGCACCGAGTGATTTCAAATTGGGTGTTTAGGGCTGGTGTTAGTGTTTAATAAACCAGCTTTAAACCAGCTTTAAACACAGAAATGGAAATCAGCTGGTGTTAAGGCTTTGACCTCTGAATATCGTCAACTTCCGGTAGCTAGTGTTATTGATTATGCAAAATTGTCGTCTGCTTAACCGACCTTTGTGGCTGGTGTTAATAATTTACGTACAAATGTCCTATTCACTAACACTTCCCCCTAGGGATTAAGCAAATGTTGATTTCCAGTTCGGTGTTAGTGAATCGATATTGATATTGGTATCGAGCTCTCAATTTCATCAGCAAATATTTAGCTCGATTTAAGAGCTCTTGACTGCTCTAAACACTAACACTAACACTAACACCCAACTTGAAATCACTCATTGTGTGTAGAGTTCAAAATTGGTTTGCACACATATGATGCAGTAGGGTAGGTCTATGATATCCTGAGAGATGACAGTTGATACTTTAAATGCAAATTGAGATAAATGGGAACCCCAACGCTGTATTTTACCAAGTTTAGGGTAGCTATTGCCAAACAACTACCCCCCCCCCCCCCTCCCTCCTGTAAAGTTATCAAAATTAATTATTATCCACTGGACATAGAACTTTTGTATCCCTCAGTTATGTGAATTATTTGAAAATGTACAAATATTTGAGCTTGTTATTAAGGCCTTTTGCAGATGAAAAGGTTTTGATTGAAGCAATTCTTAAATTTAAACCTGACGTGACTTGCACTGAATCAGAATTTTGCATTCTGGCTGCTTGCATTTTCTTAATTTTCCTTTAAAAACTCTGTGTGCAAGAGGTTCCTGAGTAGTTTTAAAAGGGGTAGTATCTAAAATTGCAGTGCTTGCTGAATCTGTAAAAGAAACATAACAATTTGTCCATAATCTTGCAGCTTTGTCAAAAAGTAATCTTCTCAGGCCTTCAGAAAAACTGTTTAAGTACAGGTACATGTACATGCATGTCAATAAAAGTTGATAACACATTTCTATTTTGTTTATATTCCAGTTGAATTTCCACAGAAGGTTCGGATATACCTCTTGGACAAGATGTCAGATATTGAGTAAGTTGCCCCTTCCACTTAATGAGATTGTCACCAATTTCAATTCCTCCTAAACAAGCAAACAAACAAACAAACAAACAAACAAACAACAAAACATACAAAGAGTAATGATCAATCTGAGATGATTACTTACCATGGAAGATTAATGAGTCTTCCTGTAAAATACACTGATATGTGTGGTAGATCTTAAAATTATTAGCTCATCATTTTACTAGTTATGACTACCTTCTTATTCAATTCATTTATTTTTCACTGTAAAACAACACATAAAAAAATCAGTGAAAAATTGTTATTGTGAATAATAGTGGCAGGATCATGAAAAGCACAAAAAAATTCTTGATGGAAATGACCCCTTTATTTATAGGGAAAGGAAAAGGAAGTGATCTGAAAATTGTTCTTGGAGACCACATTTTTCATTTTTTTCAAGCAGTGAACTAGATGGGGATATGAATTGAAATAATAGGGCATTTACACAGGAGATCATACCTGTGTATGAACATGTAAAGCAGGAATTGGGTTTATATTGTAGTAGAAATATTACAAACTTTCTCCTGCATTAAATGATCACTTTTAAAACCAGATCAGTCGGATGGATTGGGAACCTAACTTCCTAGCAGTCGAAAAAATAGATGTTTATGATTTTGCAGAATTTCATACTTACACTTAACAACTTAATTATCCATACCCCATGTAAATTTGGTGTTTTTAATGTTTTTCATAACTCACCAATTAAAGGTGGACTTGTTGAATTAGGGCCTTTTTCAATACTTTTAGATAGTGCTGTAGTCAAACGTTTAACCGTCCGGTATCCGACCGCCCATGGCGGATTCCGTTTTCAATTGGACGGTTTCGTTTTCCCGATTTTTTTTTTTTTTTAATTTTTTTTTTTTTTTTTTTTTTTTTTAATAATTTTTTTTTTTTTTTTTTTTTTTTAAAGTTTCGATTTATGCCCCTCCACCTGGCACTATGCCTGGCAATGTCTCCCAGCTCAGTAATTTGTGTGTTTACTCACCACTCCAAAACTAGAACAACACTCCAATTTGTCTGTCATCTTGGTTTGAAAGTAATCTATGTAATAGATCTCATCTCAATATGTAGTTTATAATAATAATTCATCCAACTTTTACACAAGGTTCTGTCCTAGGTCCTCTACTGTTTTTAATTTACATTAATGATCTTACACATTCTTCTAAAAATAACATTGTTACTATTATTTGTGACAAGTTCACAAGCACAAATCGGCCCCTTTAAATGCACCTCGCAGTTAAATGAAAGTTGCCGACAGAGTCGGTAAAAAAAAAAAAAAAAAAAAAAAAAAAAAACGATTTTTTTTTTTTTTTTTTTTTTTTTTTTTTTTTTTTTTTTTTTTTTTTTAAATCGTTTAACCGAAAACCGTCCGGTTTTGACTGGCGGTTAAACGGAATTGGAGATATCCGTGATGTTACAGCACTACTTTTAGATGTAATCTTTAATATGTCATGTATGATGTACTCAAGAAACAAATCAGGAAGAAAAAAAAAAAAAAAAATTTCACATGCTTCAAAAATTGCAAAACTTGGTAATGGTATGAATAATTTAGTTGCTAACTGTATATGAACGTGTGACTGGCATAAAAGTGTTTGACCTCAATTATTAATACTTTGAAAGTGATATTACAAGAATAAAATGAAATATTCTTTTTGTTTGTGTGAAGGTACCGCTTGGCAGCAGGGACCAGCGAAAAGCTACAGCTTGGATCTTTGGTAGCAGCCTTCCAGACCGCACGAGAGATGGTGGCTGCATAAGCATGACCGTACTATTCAAATATATTTAAAGATATGAAAGAAATAATGCCCCACTGCACTAGTTGTAGCTACTTGCTCCCTCTATGTAGAAAACAATGCCTAAGTGGTACCAGTTGGTCCTCCATGATCCTCTTTTTCTTATGTTATTTGAGAGCTGAGTTGATGATATAACCACCTGTCAGTGACCAGCAAGGTGGTCTAATCCCTCCTTGCCAAACTAGTGCAGACGGTCTTTAAAGGGATCCTGTAACTTTGTCTTAGATCATTTAGAAATAATCCTTGATTTAGCTCATGCTGCAATGATAATTATAAACCTTTAGGTCAGTCAGGAACTCCATGACTTTTACAAGCCTATCGCCTGTCTGATTATCAAGATATTAATGATTGGAATTACAAATTTTGAAACCCGTTCGCTGAACGGTTTTCATAACACTACAGTCTATTGGGGAAAACGAGTATGGTAAAACCGGTCACTCAAAGATTTTTACTTTTTTGAGGCACTTCTTTATCATTTTGAAGCGCGATTTTTTTTTAGGGCTTCAATATTACACCATATCACAGACACTGATAGCATGTAGGACCGTGTATCTCAGATTTAACATTGTTAAACGATCCCTTTAAAGGAGAAAAAGAATAGTCAATAAGCTTAAAATATGGAATGCTTTGTTCCTTGAATATCATGGGTAGTCCTGGGTTTTAGATTGCGAAAAATGGGGCTTTTAAAGCCCGAGTATGAAAAAAAATTTAGTCAGATAATTTACCAAAGGTAATAGAGTACGGGTAATGTGCATGTATATCAATGTTTTGACACTATAACTGAACCTCAACTTGTGGTAGGAAATCAGTTATTTATTTATGGGAGAGTAAGCCTGCACAAATGTTATACTCTCAAGTAGCACACTCTTCATACACAAGATTTTTGGGGAGGGGGACAATGCATTTTTGGAAGAAAGGAGTTATGTGAATAATTCATTTCTTAATAATATGACAAAAAGATGGTTTTATAATGATTCTTGTAATCTCAACATTTTAGTAAAATATGCATAAAAAAGTTGTTAAGACACTTACCTCACTCTTTGTATGACACTTGGATTGCGAAGTGAGAATTGTGTTCCAACGGATTATTGCAAATACTTTACAGAGATTATTCCAAATCAGTATTATGACTCTTTCTCAAGATTTGTTTTTCTTCCACTCTTTGACTTTATTTTTAGAATTCTCCCTAATTATGTGGCCCAGTCAAGTAAATTCTGTTTCTTGTCTCAGCTTGCCTCCATTTTCACCATTTACTATAATATACTACCAAACATGATGCAAAGATTTCCCAAAATAGTTGGTTTAAATTTCAAGGCAGACCTATTGAAAAACAAAAAAGGAAAATCATATCTTGAAGGAATCCCTCCCTCTGTTTAACAATTTATTTGTCATCTTGATATTCTTTCTTTATTAATTGATACAATTATCTATGTTTTATTATTTTGTTCATTTTCTTATTATTATTTTTTTTCTATTCTTTTTGAGGAGGGGGGGGGGGGCTGATAATCCATTTAAGTTGGACCAATATTTATAGGCATGTCTATTCATGTACGGTACATGTTCACACATACATACTTTGCTTTATTGCCGAATTATTGTGTGTTATCACTGAAAGCAAATAAACACAGGCAGAGAATATAGTATGGACTGAGCACCGCTGAGAGTTCAAAGGTCATGTTGAACAATACCTTGTATATCATGTACATAGCAACTTGAATAAAATTTTGTATGTAAACAAAATATCGCACACCCTTTTATCGTAATCTTTGACTTGAGTGAGTGGGTCTGTTGTGGGTCTGTTGTGTGTCTTCATCGTGATCTTGTTTAGACATGTTACGACCTTGTCCAAGCGCACTGTCTACAGGCGCAGACCCATGTTCTTTGTACTGTTTTTATAATATACATGTATTTTGTGATGAACTAAAAACTTCCAGATTGAAAATATAAGGTAAACCGGTAATACAAAGTATGGGAAAAATGTTTTCAATAAGTATCTGCATTCAGCTGAGTAATGGTGTAATAGGCTAGGCTCCAGCAAGAATTGTTTCTATGACCAAGATCAAAAAGGTCTGTGCTTGCAGACTAGTCGTCAATCGGTCTCTGTTCATTTACGAGTGAAGTGGATGTGATTTCCTGGAAGTTTGAATCGAGCTATCCTTTGTTTAACATCTTTAACTTTGCTTGTGTCGCCAACGGCTGTTTCAGCATTTTTTAATTCTTAATTTTTGTTCACATCCTTTCTTTTTTTCAAGATCCTCTCCTTATATTTAATCACGGTTCTTCAATTCTTATTTTTTGTTTTTGATTTTTCTGACCAACTCCCCTTCCTCCATTTTCTCCTCTTAACCTTTCTTTTCCCTTCTCTATTCCCTCAGAACTTTTTATTATTTCTACAGTTTCCTACTTTGATCTCTCATTTATATTCTCTCCCTCTCCATCTGATTAATTTTCTTGAATTTCCTCCTTTTTCTATAACGTAAAGACTCCTTCCATGTAATTCATTCCTCTTCTTCGTCCTCTCTCTCTCTCTCTTCCTATTTGATTACTGATATTTTGCCAGTTCATGTAATTACCTTTTCCTTTTAAACTTCTCTCATTTTCCTATCCTGCAATGATTTTATTTCCTTCAACTGCATGCTGATCTCTAATATCTTCCCTATTCTACTATACCATCTTAACATTTACATGTCCCACACACACACAGCAAATCCAGTTACCAGTAACAAATTTCATCAGTTTTTTATACTTTTTAATATTTGCAGTTCACTTTCCTTCATCACATTATCCACACAAGAGTACAATGACCTTCACGTGAATGAAACATACTGGAAAAGGGACACAAAATCTGTTGTGAGATTCCCAAATAAATTAATTCAGAAGGCAATTTTTACAGTTGACAGGTAGGTACCATTGTGTATCCAAATAGTTCACACACTTCATCACCGATACAAAGTTTTCTTGTGCCTGTTGCATGCTATAAAGCAAATTATAAAATGAGAGGTTACAGAAGGAAGATGTATGCACATGTTCTGCTAAAAAGCACTTTCTGAAGCAAACTTGCAATTAAAGTAAACATGCAAAGTTTTAAAAAGGCTGCACAGTGTCTCATTCAGGCTCTAGAACAAAGCTTTTGTTAAAAAGAAATAGCTAGGACTACATGAAGTGGGTGAACGAAAAATTCTAAATTATTCAAAAATACAATAAAAATAGTACGATGATTATTAAATGAATTGTATCATTTGTTAATCATTCTACAAAAAAATGGATGGAATTCCTCAGAATCATTCAATATTGGAAGATTTTGCATCAAACAAAACAAAATGGCCGTTTGAAAGACTGCATTGCTTACAATGAAACAAAAAAATATCAAGGTTGTACTGATTGAAAAATCAAACAAATAAAAAGCAGAATTTAAAATTAAAAAAATATTGGTAAAAGGTTAGATAAACAAAATCATTGCATAGAAAAAATAAAATTAAGAAATACTATATCCCAATATTGATAAAAACATAAAAAACCAAGCAACAGAAGAAGAAAAAAAAAAAAAATCTTCATGCAAATTCCACTATTGAGAGAAAAATGGACAAAACCTAATATACTTGTATGTTCCTGCCAATGTATTCTCAGTAAAAATGTAGAAAATCAACATCACTACAGCAAATACTTCAGTTTGTACTGACATACCGGTAATGAATATTCAAAACACTTATGGTAGTAACTTCATACATATTCATGAGATTAATCTGAGAAAATGCCACAAAGGTTGACTGCACAAAATCAAGTCCCTTCATGCCGTAATTGTAACCATTTTACCAGAACAAATACCGGTATGTAAATAGTACACATATGGTACATGTATACACAGCATGTTCACACATGTCGTAAGTTTGGTTACACAATACATTTCTCTGACACGAGCATGATCCAGCAAGTACCTACCGGTACATGTATGTGAACACAAATTCAAGTTTTGGGGTATGCACAAGATTTCTTTTGAGGAGTTGAAACCTCAATGTACAGAAGCTCTTCCCTTTAAAAAAAAAAAGGAACAAGACAGAACAAAACGAATTTGAACACAACTACTTTTGATGAAAAATGTGCATACCAGTACTTGTTTCCTTCTCAAAATGTGACATTTTGTTACTGTTTTTCCTCCCCTCTTGATCTATTTGTAAGAAAGCACACTAAGAATAAGAAAAATCTATCCAATTGTATACTTCTCTGAAAATAGTCCAGCAATTTGTGGTATAGATGAAGAAAACTGCAAAAAGGTTGCTGGCTTGCAGCCTTTCGATGGGCACTCTCGCTCCAATCTTTTCCTTTTCTTTTCAACATGAGCTGGAAATGTTAAATTTCTGATGCAAATGTGTGTCCAATAGAGCCAGGAAATGCCTCTTAAGTGTAATTGTACTCAATATACTGGTTGTACGAGTTCATAATAGACAAATAGTCTAAGTCCTCTTTGATGCTACCAAGGTTTCACAAAAAGTAGGTGACTTCCTTGGTACGAGGGTGCCGGCCGACCCATCATTTAACCCCCTAAACTGAAATACACCACAATCACGATTCACAATGACACAATCAATCATATACAACGCAAATGTTTGAACTATATAATAAGTTCAACACACAATTGAAGACATACTGTTTTGTTTGGAAATGTAGTTTGTGCATCATCATTATGAGGTAACATTTGTGAAACATCGGTCACCGATATGAAGACAGTACTACAGAGAAATATCAATCCTTGCAAAGTACATGTTAGACATTAATCAGGAATGCATGTACAGAAAACTTGGTAAAACTGTTGGAATGGGGTCTGTAATGTCCTGCATTATTAATTATTCTACAAATGGAGTGAAAATTGGACAATAATTGTGATAATAATAACTGGCATCCATAGGATACATACAGTAAACAGGAATAAATTATATAAAATGTGTTCAATCTACAGAATTAGAGAAAAAGTCAAATGAAAAAGTAGTAAAGATATTAAATTCCTCAGAGAAGTACCAGTGATATTACAAGTTTGAGACTTTGAGGCCAATGTTCTATTTCTTATACAGATCAATGAATTTCTGATTTTCTGATTGAGTTGAATCATTACATGCTTAATGAATTAGCTTCCTGAGCAAGTATACGGCTCAGAAATGAAAGGTTTTCTTGACAATACTACATTGTGTATGAATGATATTCATGGGAGATTAAAATACAATATTTGGTATCTTTAAAAATGCATCATAGTACACAAATGGGGGATATATTATATATACATCAAATTTCACACACTGGATTAAATATGCAAAGGACTTGATTGTTTCCTTCAAAATTTGTCTTCCGCAAAGGGAAGGAAAAAAAAGTTATCAAAGTCAAGATGCACAAGTTGCATGATTCATTATAGGAAATGTATTGGGCTCAGTGAATACTTCATATGAATGGGCTACAAAATTGAAGACATTCAATGGAAGGAATTCCCGGTCATTTAAAAATGTCATAAAATTTGCATCAATTTATTTAAAGGGAAGTATACAAAAAAATTCACTTCAATATGTATTGAATAGAATAGAATTCATTGACGCAACATGGGTAAAATTTGCTGAAATTAGTTTAGAGTTCATATCATGTTCGAGTACAGTGAAATAGGATTCAGAGTCATTAAAAACACACTATCAGCTTTGAATATTATTCCAAAATGTCATTTATACAAAGCATTATTTTTTTCAAGAATAAATCAGATAATTCTTGAATTCAATTTGACCGTGTATCCACTGTAAGGCATTGACAATTTACTGATAAAAATGAAAGTAGATTCCCTGAATTTTCCTTCAAGATGGGTAACAAATATTTCCAAGAATTATTCTCACCTCATAAAATACGTATTTCACCATGGACTTTCTACAAATGTTATTTACAGAAAAATAATTCATTTCATTATGCTACAAAAGGGTCCTCAATAATTTGAATGTACATATAATTGCGACAGGTATGGAATGCCTTATGAGCACGTGTTGCTAAATATATCACCACGTACTTCAATTTCATTTATGTACACCACACACGTCTGAGAGGATAAAATATGAGAAAATATACATGTACAACTGTTTAAAAAGATCAGCGTAGAGGTAGACGATAATTCTTTCCAAACAATTTTCATCACTTCTGAAGAGTTTTGCAAACACGTGCACTTCAGTGACCTATTCACCTTTAGTCATACATAAAAGAATTTCAATTTCATATCAATTTTGAGGCACAGGTAAGTATGAGGTTTTCCGGTCCAAAGGAAATTTTTTTATAGAAATATTTATAACTCTCTCTTTTGATCACCGCTGAGGATTTCTATACAAGCAATGCAGCATTTGCTCATCGATATGAATCCAAATACATTGAATTGTCGGTCTACCACTTAAGATATACAACTTCATCTCATTTTCACTGCTTTTTGAGCACCATTCACATTCATATCATCATATATTTGTGAAAGTTTTCCCTTCATTGATGCTCTCCTCGCCCGCGTCATATGCATGTTCAAGACCCTTGACCTCTTGGTGGCTGACCGGGTCAACCTCGAGCCTGAGATAGAACTATCATCTAGACTCAGCCTTCTCCTAGGGGATTGCCTTGATGAGCTTCCCTTGGCCGGAGCTGAGAGGGCGTTCTTCCGGTCATGCTGAGGAGTGGGCGGTTCACATTCGTACAGCACCTCAATGGGTCCGTTCGCCGTCAAGAATGTCCTTTTGGCCTTGACCGGGGTGGCTTTAGCGGCCTTGCGTCGCATTTGCCTGTCAACATCGTATGTGTACTCCACCCTGATGCCACACTTCTTGGTGTGTATTACCTTGTAGATCTTGTCGCCGCTTTTCGTACGCTCCCCGACGTTGGTCTTCTCCACCACCGGATCGGGCTTAGGCTTCTTCGGCTTGGGCAGCTCGAGGCCGTCCGTGTAGCGCCGCTTGTACTGAGGGGCCGGGATGTTCCCGTACTGCCTGCGCTCCTTGTTGGACATACAGTAAAGACGGTTGTAGTTCTCCATGGACGTCAGCTTGGTGCAGGCGTGATGGCGGATCAACGCCGGCCTGGTGAAGTTGTCCCCGTTCTCATCCACCTCTTCGTCATCGCCATCTCCCGTGACTTTGAGTCCAATGTTCTGCCACTCCTTGACGGCATCAAGGTCGATCTGGTCACCTTCGTCATCGATCACGTCTGGGTACTCGAAGAAGACGCAGATGACTGAGATGTTGTCTGCTCTCAAGAGATGGTAGTTCCAGAGATCCATTCCCCGTTTTACCAGTTGATGTGAAACCGTTTCTGACGACTGCTCTCCCTGTATTGCACAGAATCAAACAAATCAAATAAGTTTTTGCTATTTGATCGGAGAGGGTGTACATGTACCTTAATTGTATGGCCTTTACTTAAAATGTTATCTAGACTCAACACAAATATCAAGAACTGTAACTTAAGATAGAGACACTATCACCAAGTATGGCATAGCTGTGTTTAGCCTCTACTTAGAATAGAACCACCAAAACTTATTTAGTACACCTCACTTAATCATTTGGTCTAATGTGTAAACCAAAACCTTTATAAACACTTATTGATTTATTTTCCTACAAGTATAAGCCGGTCACATTTCTCATTGGTCATTGCACCAAGTTTCATTGATTTTTTTTGTGTAAACCAAACTTTTTTTTTACCTGCAAAATACGAGTCTTGTCGTATTTCTCCACAATCTGTACCGAGGCCTCACTTGTGACCATGTTCCATAGACCATCGCTGCCTAAGATAAGGAACCGTTCTGATTTTGGATCGATGACCCTGTGCATAATGTCGGGCTCAGGAGAGACGATGTACTTGCCACTACGGAAGTTGTAGCTCCATAAATCACCTAGAGGAGAAAGAACGGTGGTATGTATTAAAGTCAATTTTCTTCATACAGGGCTTCACACTGACATTTTGTTTACAGGGGCCCTGACTTACGAAGAACAAAAATTCTAGGATAAGACTATTGGTGAAAAAAAAAAGAAGGGTTCAGAAAACTTTAAAGAGAAGGTCGAGTTCTGGGAAGAGGTGAAAAATAATTTGTGAGCATTTTCAATGTTTTTATGCAAGCGTGGAAAACATCAGATACATCATCTAGTCCCATATACATCTTTCTGTGTACAGTGCTTGTATCTTTACCAAGACTGGGCCAAATTTCTTCTCATTTTGATGATTCCAGAACTTGCAGTACACACCAATACTTGTATGCTAGATGATCAACCTTTTCTAAACGATTTAACAACATTTCTTTCATAATGTAATCGCATGACCAGGTACCCGTTTCTCAAAGCCTTTTTTCAATGACAAATGAAAAAAAATCAGTGACAAATCTGTTGATAACCAATCAGAAGCAAAGATTTCAGTAGAACAAGAACTGTCATTTGTCACGGATGACAAGATTTGTGAAACACCCCTCTGAACTCTTTCTTGGAGGCCCATGTTGGCATCAAGCCCTGAATGGATGACTGCTCGAGGCCAGTACATGTCATAAACCCACACATGTATCAAATTATAAAAACATCAATCTGGAGTTCACTCTATTAGAAAATATCCCTTGACAACAAAACAGGCACTAATAGCTAATAGCAATAGTAACAGCTAATAGCATTTTACATACAAGAAAATTCCTTTTGGCTCTCAGCAGTGTGTTGATTTCTTTTGTGTTTAAATGCAAAACATTATCTTACAATGCCCTAAGGCATAACACAGCAATAAAACAAAAGTAGTTCATTGGAAATTAAACAGATTTAAAATATATCAAATAATGCCTCCGGCTACTTCGTAACGGAGGGATAAAAACCCAACTGACAAATGAGCCATATTTTACCCTATAATTATCTTTGATAAAATTATTTGGTGTGCGAATGTTGCATGAACAATAGTCATTTCACAGGTCATTGTAAATCCCATAGCGAATTCGCTGATTCTCACAGTTTCTCCAAGATGGAATAATTACCTAAAGATCTGGCTACGGCCAGGAACGGTATATCTGTCAGTTCTGTATTTCTCGTGATAGGACCAGTGTGGTCTAGCTTAGGCCTGGACCAGACCACCCTCTGCACGCCTGCCTTGTCTTGCACCCGACCTCCGGCTTCCTCAATGCGTTCTATCTCCTCGATGTCGCTTGGCTTGTGATCGACGGTCAGCGTCTCCGTGACTATCTTGTGGCTGGTTACGCCGTAGACGTTAGTGGTGTTGAGGCCCCTCGGTTCACTCTTTCCCAGCACTATTCTGGAGTCTCCTACATGAGCTGTGTACATGTCATTCCCACATATGATGACCATACTACAGGTTGAGCCTGCTGTACTGGGATATCCAGAAAGAGTCTTTGGCCAGGAGGCTGCATGAAGGAAGGAGAAGGAAGAGGTCACTAGGGTTAGAGGATTCTTCATTACATTCACAAAAAATGTCAATATATTTTGTTGTTTTAGTGTATACCGAAAGGCGTTTGTCATTCAGAAGTGAATATTTACACCATATATGATTGGACAAGTTTAGTCTTTCATCGAGTACATGTAGATATTATGTAGACTTGGTACATGTACATGTATGACTTAGCTTTATTCCCTTTAACTTGTAATTATTTGATTATCTATGTAGTTATATAGAGATTTTGGAACAGTCACAAAATACAGTTCAATCATGGGTGCAAATGTGAGGGCAAAATTAATTATTTTTATTAGGACTGGGTGAAGAAAACTGTAATTCTCCGGATTCTGCCCAAAGTAGAAAAATAGCCTGGAAAGAGAATAGGTACGCACTTGCGAAACCTCACCTTCACGGCTACCTTACCCACTTAGGCTTAGGGTAGGTTGAATTTAAGGCGTTGTGAGGTATCGCGACTGCCATTCTCTTTCCAGGCTATTTTCTACTTTGGGCAGAATCTGGAGAATTACCCAAAACTTAATTTCATCAAATAGAGTGGTGAAGTGTGACATCATCAAAAATCTATTTCTAGAATTTCTCAATTTTTTCTTCATTTTCCAAATGCAGAAAAAATATAGAAATTCTAAAAATAGATTTCTAGATCTAGAGTAGACCTAGACTGGACATTAATTCCTGTCACCAATGTTCTCTTAAATTTGAACTTGGCTTAGGCTTACAAAATGTTCATGTTTTTCATAAAATAATGAGCAGATGACATGATCAAGTGCAGACAATACAATTTGATCTAGGTCTAATCCTAGATCTACATCATGTATGAAATAGACCATGTAGATTTTCTAGACCCTAATGTAATAAGGATTGAATTTTGAAACATGACTTAATTTTTACCTGGCGCATATCACACACACTGACACAGATTGAATTTTAGTTTGATAAATGACGCCACACAACTCTAGACCTATAGAATCTAGAAATAGATCTAAAATGAAAATTGAAATAAAATGTTGCCTTGCCCTCAAAATCAGAAGAACCTCTGCCCCCCCCCCCCCCCCCCCCCCCCCCCCCCCCCCCCTTAAAAAAGTGTAAGTCAAAGTACCATTTGACATGAGTACACTACGGTGCAACCGCGGCGGTACCCATTTCGGACAACTGCTGCATTACGTCACTGATCAGTGACCCCGAATAGCTTTACGTGGAAAACTACCGCTCTAGAGATATTCATTCAATTTGTGTTGTGACAGTGATATTCTAGCGACCGTTTGAAAGAGTTTGAATGAAAGTTGATATTCCTACTAATACTCACATCGCTCCTTCCACATGCCCTCTTGAGTGACACGAAATGCCTCATTAATCGCGGACATAACTGCGTTTGGTTCGCGGGAAAAGAACCCATCTTGATTCTTGATATTTTGCCACAAGTGATCACGGGCATACACTGCGGCCTCCTTCCCTCCATGTCCATCGAACACAGCAAAGCATGCATAGTCGGCTTCTTGTTCTCTGTCGAAAACGATACAGATCATGTCTTCCATGTATTTTCTTCCTCCCTGAGTTGAATCACTAGATACCCTAAGTCCTATTACACGTTTTCTTTTCGGATTTTTCTTCATTGGACTAGAAACAGTCCGATATTGTTCCACACTTTCCATGTTTTCGGTCTTCCTGGCGCGCCGTTTCCTATCGAAAATGTTCTTTGTATCGCGCCAATTTTCACACACAGAACGTTGATTACGTCTACGTAAACTTCGCTGTGGTTGAATCATGCGCTAACTTGTTCTTGTCCGCGCCTCTCATTCGCTGATTTCATTCAATGAATGCAGAGCAATGCCAAGGCGGAAGTGACGAATGAATATATTGATCAAAGGTCATCGTTTCACAAATATAAACAAAAATGGCTTATGTACGTTTTCCAATGACTTGCCGATACATGAAAAGTGTCGTTGTTGTTTAGAACTCAGGGGGAGGTGACCATAACTTCTTTGCCTGCATGTTCAGGACTCAAAATAAATTTAACATGAAAATAGCTAAGAACTTGAATAAAGTCACAAAACAGTCAGAGTGAACATTCTGATAATTAAAGTGCACTGCAAAATGTGAAAATAATACTGTTGAAAACACGGTTAGGTTTTTTTCGTTACGAAATAAACTTGCTTGAAGCTATGAATGATGCTAAAAGATGGACGTGTATATATCGCATTTCTTTTAAAATTAATAAGAGATGTCTTCATATCATCAATGACCCAAAATTCGATTAAATGATATACTATTGGCCACACATGTCATTTGTGTATTAAGCAAAATGGTGCATGACAGCCAACGCCCTCCCATAACAATAACATGTTCGTTCATGAACTGTTGGCGGCTGTACGTACGGGGCACTTAATTGCCACCCCCGCCCGCTATAGCCCAGTGCTTATGTCAGTTCTTTCTTCTTCTTATTCTTTTCCTCCTTTATTTCTTTCTTTTATATTCTTTTTTTTCTTCTCCCCATTCCGAAAGACCGGGTAGAACTTGGTTTTAGACGTAATAATGTTTCACTAATTAATTCAGTGCTCTTGTCTCTTGTGTCAGTAAACTCAAATTGCGTAGTACCACGGTCCCTATATGCAGGTCTTTTGCCCATATATTCCTGTATTCGCCAAGGGCTGGGCTCTAGTCTCTTTAATCCGAATAAGACAAAGGGATATAGGCCTACTAAATAGGAGATAAACAATAATTTAAAAAAATATATATATATATATATATCACCTCCATATACCTCATCAATTTTTGTTTTTGTATATAGTGGGGATTCCCCGCCTCGTATAAACATGCATGTTTGCATTTATGTCGATGTTGTATTTAATTTTCAGAACTTCCCTGCTTTGCTCTGCATAATCTATCTGAAATGGCTGTCCCAAAATGTTTCCAAGTCGGGAATCCATCAGGTTTTTTTTTTGGGGGGGGGGGGGAACTTACTTTGGGGCTGACCTATCTACATAAAGTTACAACTATATGAAAGGTAAACTTAGTTTATATAGTTTAACTATGATACCCCTTCCACACTCAACTGGATGCAAAAGAGAGAAAACGAGTGAAAAAGAGAGAGAGAGAAAGAGAGAGAGAGAGAGGGACATGACAGAGAGAGAGAGAGAGAGAGAGAGAGAGAGAGAGAGAGAGAGAGAAGTTAATTAATGGAGAAAAAATTAATGGCGGAAAAATGATTACGTGTTCCCTTTGGGGCGCTATATAGAAAATTTTACGGACATACCGCTGTTTATGCGAGAGAGGGCTTCGGATTCCCGTTGTTCAAACATGGCGTTTTCATTGATTTACTATGGGTTAAAAATGAATGTTTAGTATCCCGAAATTGATATTCTTTTTTCTTAACTTAGTTTGTATGATAATGATTATATTATAATTCCTTGTAGCTTAAAGGTACTATGTCCCTTTTGCAGCCAACCTCAAATGCTGTAGAACTTTGCGGGAATAATGAATATGTCATGTAGCCTATGTCCTATCTGTGAAATTTAAACGTTAGCAGTGTCCTCATATTTAAATCATGCAAGGAAATCCGTTTACTCGCTAGACTTCACTGTCAGACACTATTGAGTGACTGACTGACTTTTTTTCTTTGTTAATAACAAACATGAAAAGAGTAGTAAAGGGTACATGAGTATTTGTCTACATCAATAACCCACTTCTTGTGATGGCCAAGATTAAACTGAATCTTTGCGCAGCATAAAACGTATGACCATTCGGTACAATTATTGTCTGAAAATCAAGACTATTACTTTTGGGCTCTATAGCCCTAAAGTCGATTTGACAATAGTCGTTATTTTCCCACTTGAAGACATTTTCAAGCCCCACCTTTTTTAGGGAAGTTCTAAATTAGTATTATCTTTCAAATGCAGTTGGAATTTAACAGAGAGGACATACATGACATATTCATAATTCCTGCAAAGTTCTACAGAATTTGAGGTTGGCTGCAAAAGGGACATAGTACCTTTAATAATACATATTACCTGCTGAGCAAAGCCAATCTTGCACAACGACCCGAGTGAAGAAAACAACAAATAAATCAAATAGGCCCATACAGGCGCGTACGCAGGATTTTTTCAAGGGGGGGGGGGGGGGTTAACATTTATAAATCGGGCCGAAAATTTTACAACGACTCAGCCAGCCGCTGAATAAGCGGGGGGAGGGGGGGGGGGGGGGGGGGGGGGAGGTAAGAGGACACTTTTTTTTTTTATTGGTCTCGAAATTTGAAAATTTGACATTTGCTCCGTTGGGGGGGGGGGGGTAAGGTCAGCTATAGGTCAGCCATGGGAATATTTTTTTTTTTTTAAATAAATAAATTAAAAAAAAAAAAAAATCTGAAGGGGGGGGGTTAGGTTTTTTTTTTTTTTTTGGGGGGGGGTTTACACACAGAAAAATACCAAAGGGGGGTTTACCCCCCCCCCCCCCTGTGTACGCGCCTGGACCCATATACTATCTTCGAACGGGGAAAAAACAGACCCGGTTGAATGATGCCTTAATTCTTATATGACTTTAAATAAAATCTCAAAACAAGTCATGCTTTGATCAAGAACCTGTCTAGAAATAAATGTAGCCATAAATTCCCGGCATTTATAACCAACTCGCAAGTAGGCCTATATAACAAATTTCGTTGCAAAGTCTGAAATATATTGTGCAAAATATCTCAATATTAATAATATTATCAAGCTGTATTTTTAAAATAGGATTGAGTATCCATCCCCACACTCCCCTCCCTCTACACAAATGATAAAATTTAAAAAAAAGTATAATAGACTAGCCACTAGCTAGGATAATGTTTCCCCTTCAACCCCCACTCAACTAAAAAGTAAAATAAAAAGTAAAACAAGAATAAACTTTAAAATGACAGGGGTGTTTCTTAAACTTCAAACGTTAAGCAAACATTAACAAATACCGTGCATACGAATACTGTGTCTTCTAAGCCACCTGCAGCAGTACATGGTTGACTATGCTCTTTCAAATAATCATAGTTTCTCTTTGTTTGATTTACAATAAATTTAAGGTTATTATTATCTTTATTTTCACCCATGCACATGGTCTATGAATTCGATTTCGCGCAATTTATTGAAGTTGGGGCTGGTACACATGCGCAATGCTAATCAATGAGCTGAGCATGCGCAGTTGTGCGCCACCATCGGGGCTCCTCGAAGATGTAAATTTCTCTCCATCAAATCGTACAGTCAGGCTGTATTATATTTTCGGGAATTTCTGAATGTAGGAAATGTGTTTTCAATCCGAATTCACATGTTCGATAGCTGTATACAATATGTTTGCCTGTGCGTAATTTGAAGAAAATTCATAGTTTCACTTCTTCAGGACAAGAGTTTCCATCAAGCACCCTCCTCTCGACCCGAGCATAATATTCGGTGCACCTTCGTCGTGCGATAACTACGGCGGCGGCTACTTGTGGGGATGTGTTACCGTGCATCACCACACGGGGCTGGAGACTTTGTTGGAAATCATTGATTCTTTTGCATCTTGTTTTCTGGATCACCCTTCAACCAGCAGACAAGCAAACCAAATTGCGAGATGGCTACGACTGTCCAGTATGATCTGGACACGTCTGGAGGCCTCATGATGGTAAGTGAAAGTGAAATTCTGCCGTTGAACAACTTGTTTGTGATGCGAATTCGATTTGACAGATGTTCTCGTTTGCTAATACACAGCCATTGAAACGCGTGCGAACAACAAAACTTGCTTGCTGCGCCGTCCCTTGTACACAGAACTCGTTATTTTTCTTTCAAAATGGCGACGCAACGTACCAGGAAAGAGAGCTCTTTGCTGTGCGTCCTGTACATTGTGCTGTCACCCTACTTAACCTATCCATAACTGTTTTCATGTCATACTTGCAGCAAATTCAGGCTTTGGTTGCCCCACCACAAAGTGATGAACCTCCAAGAAAATACAGAAGAACAGAGCCAAGGAGAACAGGAAGAGCAACCAATAGAGACTCTTGTGATAGCTGTACTGAGGGAGGAGATCTTATTTGCTGTGATCGTTGCCCTGCCTCTTTTCACCTTCAATGCTGGTAAATCTTATTTCCTTAGACTCAGACTCGTTAAGTCTGCGAATTGAAGGTCTGTCGGACTCGAGATTAATGAATGGATCTTGTTCATAATTTCATTTTTGATGGGAAATTTCAAGTGTTAATTTTCAAGTGTTAAATACGTGCATGAATATCTTTTGTGCAATTGACATACTCTAGACCTTAAGACTTAAAGCGATGAGAAAATCCCGAATATGTCTTTCTAAATCCAAGAACAACAATTCTAAGTGCTCAATTAAAAAAAGCTGTGCACATATCTTGTTGGTGAAATAAACCTCATGGGACTGGAAACATGCAATGGTTTGCTGCCAAATCATCCATTTCATTTTCTCTTTAAAATATCAGACTCGTGTTGAGTTTTGCACATAACATGTGCATTTGTACATTGATCTTTACATATAATCTTTTTATAATGAAAGCTTACCATATTATTGGTAAATATGGAAACATTTGTGCATTTCAAACAAAAGTAATGGATGATCTTCTTCTCTGTTTTGGAACGTTTAGTGAATGCTTCAAAGATTGGAAACTGCCGGATGAAGAGGCACAGTTCCATTTCAAAAAGTTTTTGTTGTTGTCTTTCATGATTCTGTTTCACACCCAAATAGTCTCCTTGGTGGTCTCTCTCTCTCTCTCTCTCTTTCTCTCTCTCTCTCTCTCTCTCTCAGTATACATGTATATCCATGTATGTTGAATGACGGGTCTTTATACGCAAGTAAAATTGATTTCAAGTTTCTTACGAGATTCTTTGTGATTAAGCAGGCTTCATATTTGATATTTTTCATGCACATTACGGGACAATTTTATTACATGTTCACTCATTAAATTTTGTCTCTCTTTACACGATATTGTACAGATTTTTTAAAACTTGATGTTGGGTTCCTCAGAATCAAATTTATTCCATGTCTAAATAAATGACAAAGGAAGTGGGCGGGGGGAAAAGGATGTAGGTGGGAGGAAAAACTAGACTGTTTTTTTTTCTTCTTAGGCTCCTCAGTTTTCATCAATCTACACCTGGATCTGCAGTGTTGATGATTAGCTAGCCTATAGCTTAACATGCAACCCCCAGATTAGGCATAATCAACTCTATATTTTTCATGAACAAAAAGGGAGACATTTTGCTACAGGCAGACTTTAAGTGATTGCAATGATAGCAGGTCTTGTGTCTTTTCTTTCTTTTTCCTTTAAGACTGTAAGGATTTGGTACAGGAATAAATGCAATTTGACATTTTTCATCGCGTGATATTACAAAAAAGGATTTAAAAAAAAAAAATATTTAAAAAAAATGAAAATAATAATAAATCATTTTTTTCTTCTAAATATCAAATGAACATTGAAGGCATGACAAAATGTATATCAACACATTTCTCGACCCTAGTCCAGTCCAGAATTTAAACTTTGGACTCCACACTATTTAACATTATTGAATACAAATGTAAGCCATGGCCTTTGTGTGATAACTTTTGTACCTAAAGATGAGTCATGGTTCGGTGTGAAACCCATTTAAAGGTTTGTGGCTTTTATTCTTGCACTATATAAGCGCATTTATATCCATTTCCTGAGAAAATATGGGGGTAAAAATTCAGTAATTTGCCGGTAATTTACGATAATAACATTTAACTGAGGAATCATGAATTATTCTCAATTCATGCACATATTCATGATTTGTAATTACTCAGTTTCTTTCTGTAGAAAAGGAAGGTGCGCTGGTGTTGTCTTCTATACGTGTCGATTAATCTAGATTGTTATAATTTTATAAGAAAAAAAAACAGTACAAACCCTATACCTCTGGTATGTGGGCCTCCTTAAAGGTAGAGCTCATTGTTCAGAAAATGGTTCCATTCTGAAAATAAAACAACAACCCACATAGAGTGAAAGACCACCTGTATGTACAGTATACATGAATACATGTACATGAATAGCAGCTTTTCATTCATGTGTGCTAAAGAGACCCTTAGGTGCAGATGTCTACCATAAACCTGTTTACTAATGTACCTCAATTAATGCATGTCTCTCTCTAGAACCTTCCGGTTACAAACTATTTAATTCATTTGTTATACATTATAGCATCTGTACAGATGGAGGGTGTTTCACAAAGCCTTTTTTCAATGATGGACTACACTTTGAATACATTAGGCTTTACTTTGTCTGGCGAGCATTTGAGCCGTTTGGGAAAAACTTTCAGAAAGAAAAAACAGCAGCTTTTTATGCGATGGTTTACGGTAACCCATCATATCTGAACAAACCTTGAGGGTATATTGTGTAGATTAATTCTCTAGATATATAAAAAAAAAAATGATATGCCTTAACTATGGATAGACTCTTGCAAGACATCTAAATAATATATTTACATACCTGTACATGTACATTGTACATGTACATTAGTCCACCTAAATGTTCCATGCAGAAGGCCTACAATTGTAGTTTGGAATACTATATACAAAAAAAAGCCCATCTACCACATGTATGCATACCGTAGCTTTGTGTGTACACTTGAAATTACTTATGAAAAAGTTGATTAGATTTGCCTTTTGTTTGCCATTAGTCAGCGTTGCTACGGTTGCTTGGAGACATGTAAATTTACAATCCACAGGTAACTGTTTCAAAATGCAGTTCAGCTTATTTCAGATTCTAGATTCATTCTCTTTTCCTACCTGTATGCAAAATATACTGGCTTGAATAGACATTTGAAATCTACTCTTGTCTTCATGAATGTTGTAAGCAGAGAATGAAGTGAATGTGAAATCGACTCGCATGTAGTTTTCATCACAAGTGTAAGTTACAGCATGGAACATAGCAAGTGATTGGTGCTACAGAATTACATGACATACTCACAAACCATAGTAGATTTCATCTACACTGTACGAACATGTACATTTAAATACCTGTGGAATTCTGAAGTTCTTCATTTGAGCTTGAAGAACAGGGCAGCATTTCACGAAACAAACCATCATCAGGACATGTTCGAAGATCCATTGACACACATGTCCATTTCAGTACACACATACTGTGTGATCCACAATTCCACATTCCATGTACACACAGGTAGTCAAGCAGTATCGCATATTTTTTAACCCACAGCCTACAGAATCCATGTCATTCATGTGCTATAGTACTTGAACATTTGAAGCACAGGGCAATGAAAGACTTTAACAGTCAACAGGTTAACAAAAAATGTGGAGACCAACCAAATTGTATTTGTATTTATTAGTACTTACAGGATTTATCACAGTATGCTTGAAGTAATTCTTTTCAAACTTTTAAGTCTTGTTCAGATATGACGTGTCACGTAATAAACCGCCACAAAAAGGATGCCACGTTTCTGTTTTTAATAAACTTTATATGAATGTCACATGGGTTCTACAAAGGACCTGCGCATATTCACTCGGCGAGCTCTGTGTTGTAAGATACAGAGATGTGAAGAATATTAACTACAACTCTTTACGTCATCATTAAAAAAAAAATGTTGCGGTTTTGTCGCGTCATATCTGAACGAGCCTTTAATGAAAGAAGAACCGGTACATGTATGTAAAGTGCCATTGTAAACTGTTTACTTTTCACATGCTGTTCACATACAGTGTATGTGCACAGTGTGTGAGAAATGAAAAGGCATTAGGTTCTAGGCACTGCTTTGTCTGCCAAGTTTCAGTATGTGGCAACTAGCCACCTGTCAGCATAGATTATTCTGTTCAGCTGTATTACGACTGGCTAGCAAAACGCATGACATACATTGTATGGAAGACATGTGGTTCAACTTTCGTTGAAGTTGAAAGTTGTCAAACACTATTCAGTGTGAAAAATACTTTATTTGTTCATGTTCTTGGGAGCTCTTTTTGGATTTTCTGTTTCCTTACTGAGAGTCTTTTATTTCATTTTTTATTCTATTTTCTCTTTTGTCCAGAGCTCCTTTTATTTTTCTGAAGCTCATGAAAAGTTTACCAAAGCAATAGTGCCCTCACCTGTGTTTCGGCGTACTGTAAAAACCAGAAACTTCCATGACGTCAACATTATCATGAATTTTTAGGACAGCTATTTCCACAGAAAAAAACTTTTGCGAATTGCAAAAATTAGTGTTATGTCAAAGACTGGGTAGGATGAAACTGTCGTGAACCTTAACCACTTACAAAGTTCATGAACATTTTCATCCACGCGAAAGCTCCTGGTTTTACAGTATTTAAAAAAAATAACTGCTGTAGTTGGTGACAGAGAGAAAGGTACGTACAGTTGTACATTGTTCATAGGCCTACATGTACATGTATGCCTCAGACATCCATAAATTGAGTGGATGGCTTTGTCTCTTCTTTCTCCTGTAGGGTTTACAATTGTTAAATTACTTACACATTTCTGTCATAAAAAAGGGAACAAAATGCCAATAAAATACCAGTGCTGTGTGCATTTGTATTGAGTGTACATGTACATGTATGTATAACTGCATAGAAAATAATGTGCATTAAATTAAATTCCGATAAGATCTTTTATTTGTAACAGGAAAAGAACATGTGATATTCCACCTTATAACATTATGCCGATCTGAGTTGAAGTATATGCAGTGTGTAAGATTTTCTATGATACACACAAGTTTTGAAGAACACATGGACAATAAACAAGTGTGTATAATGGATGGAATATCAACTTATGTATACAAAGAGCATATCATGCCCGTATAATGTACACTGTATGGTGTCAGAAGTTGTGGATGTTCTTTTCTGCTGAATGATAAAATAATTCATATTTTGAGGAATGAAAAGAAAAACACTTACATGTATTGATGCCTGATTGCTGCATTTTACAAGATATCCTTGTACAATATGTGCTTGAACATGCATGTAGTAAATTAAACATTTCTGAATGATTCAAGAAATATTGAACTTCGTGAAGGTCATCAAGGTCACACCTGAAGGTCATCAAGTGGACAGACATGTAACTTAGCATACTAATGTATTGCAGGTTGCATTGTCATCATTTTGTTTGAATGTTAATTT